ATCGAATCTTCACTAAAAATTTTAAATATTTCACACGATGCATTCCAGCGGATTATCTATGGGCCTTCATGACTGTAATTCAAGTTGTCGAATTCATATAGACTGAGTATGGGGAGAGATACTGACAATAAGTAATCGTGATACTAAAAATAAGGAATGCAATAGTAACATGGGCTACAAGAGGAAATGTAGAATTAACTGTTTATTGATGGAAGAGAAAATTGCACAAATTTGATTTATATATTTAGAGACATTAAAATTCCTAATCAGTATTTATTATGGATACAGTGAGGTTGAGAGCCCTTCAATGTGGTATGATAGGTAACGAGCTTGTCGTTCTAGATCAATGACGATCAAGTACTGAGTTCGATCCTCACTAGTTGCTCCATACATCTAAGCTACGCTTTAAAAATCGTTTGGACATCACGACGTGGTGTAATGGTTAGCAAGCTGGTTTTGCTAGAATAATTAGTAGTGAGTTCGAACCATACAGTGTGCTTCACATTTTTGGCCTTGTGCCACATCTAAGCTACGTTTAGAAAATCATCATAAGAAAAGACACCAGATTTTATGCACTCTGACCATTTAACATAATAGAATTATGGGATGATGTTAATTTTGATGTTTCTTAAGTCGTTCATAGTTTTTAATTTTTGGAGTACTTAGCGACTATTTTTTGTTTACCAGCAAAACCTAACTTTGTTAAGTTAAAACGACCTTTAAGACAAACAAGAAAAAGAAGACAGTTTAAGAGAGAAATTAAAAAAAAAAGCATAGTTGCCACTGAGAAAGTGTAAAATGCGAGATGGGAGCAATCGGAAAATGGGTTAATTTTCAAACATGTTTGCTGGCAAGTAATATATCAGTTTGAGCCATAGATAGCGTGTAACGTATAGTGAATCTCTCCCGCCACTGATTCCCTGCCGAAATCACCTCCGAAAAGCTCTTCAAAAATGAGGATATGACACCGTAGTTGATCCCAACTGCCAATGCGGGCAGCCACAAACTATGTAACATCTTCTTGTTTGATACAATCTTGAAGATCCATACACAGATAAAAACCTTGAAACCTTAATACCCATGTCAAGGATCTGTGTTCAACACTCGATGGGTGTGGTGTAGCGACTCGATAAGAAGTCATAGAAAATTTCCGTTTTTGCTTCTCAACTTTTATTCTTCAAAAAATGAAGCACGATTTTATTTTATTCACTTATATATTCACTGTTATTTACAAAGACGTGTTGCCACTTACCAGCTTTCTGAAAGATAGCATTAGGGTGATTATCTAATGAAAAGTCGGGTAATTCAGAGAGAAGTTGTAAAAGAAAATAAAGGTTAAATGGTTGCTTGGTTTTTTGAGGTAGGAAACGAGAAAGAAAGAAGCTTTAATGGAGGTTGTAGAAGATCGTTTTTAAGAAATCCCTGTCAAAAAAGAGGACCCGGAAAGAATTTCTCGAAAGCTACGAGGGTGGGAGGCTGAAATGTCAATAGGCTGATTATCAAGGAGTGATGCCAGAGCTATGAAATCTTGAATGCGCTTATTTCAACTCTTCTTATTAATAACTGCATTGATTCTTTCCAGGTACGAGGCTGGGATGAAAAGTTCATAGGCTGACTATGAAGGAGTGATGCTAGAGCTGTGAAACCTTGCATGCATTCATTTCAACTCCACTTGTTAATAACTTCCTTTCCAGCTGAACTGACATCTGATTGTTCACTCCGTTGGTCAGAAAAGACATCAACAGCAGATATAACGACATAACCACTACGACATTGGTTCCCAGCCAAGTGTTTTTTTACATCTTGGGAAACAGAGAGGGGTGATCAACCTGTTTGAAGCCTCAGTCTCGCACAATATCTATTGAAACCAAGAAATAATTTACTGGAGCATTGACCTGATGAAAACAAGACCCGTTTCGTCAGTTTTCCTGGACGTTTGCTGTTGATAGCCTTGCCTCGGCAAGTTGGTATAATACTCTACAACCGTCCTGGGTATGACGATAAATTACGTCCAGCAGCAAGGCCTCTGATCAGGAGGTTTTGAGGAGTGTGGAACCACCTCTTAATTGCTGGTGTTCACAAGTCCACCCTGACCCGGGGTGGTAGTACCTGTTAGGGTCCCAACTATGGGCAAATAGTTAACCCCGAAACTGCGGTTAAAATACTATGAAAGTGTAAAAATAGGTTTTAATACCAGAAATACTTTGTAAAAAATTAGTTCCTGCAATAAATTTTTGAAGAAAAAAACTATTACGAGCAATACAATTAAAAAAAAAAATATTACCGGCAATACATTTTTGAAGGAAAAATATTATCAGAAATAGATTTATGACAAAAGAAAATATTACCAGCAATAAAAATTTTGTCGGCATTAAATAACACATTGAGGTTGATATGCCGTAAAACAAAATAAATCAAACCAATCTCAACCAAAGAATACATACTCTATTCATAAGAATCTATCCTAAAAATATTGTCGGCATTAAATAACCCATTGAGGTGTCGATATGCCGTAAAACAAAATAAATCAAAACAAATCAAATACTCTACAATGATGGTGTGGCCATTTTGAAGATATTCAATAAACACAATAGCTTTCATATCACAAAAAACTGAAGCCATCACTTTTCATTCAGGTGAAACGATCTTGGCCTTCTTTTGAGCAATTGAAGAGGAGTGTTTCCACTGCATGGATTGTCTCTTTGGTTCATTGATGAACCCAACACTCATCCTGTCTTAAGAAATGTTCAAGGACATAGAAAACATTCGGACAGTTTGTCCAGAAAAGAAGAACACAAGAAAAATTGAAAAGTTAAATAAAAATCTTAACCGCAGTACCTTGTCAGCTGTTCTTAAGGAAACTCATATATATATATATATATATATATATATATATATATATATATATATATATATATATTATATAGGGTGTCCATAAAGTTCTTGTGTACTTAAAAAAATCTAACTTTATTTGTATTTGCATGATAGAAATAATCTGTAAAAACTTTTATAAAGTTTAATGTACCTAGTTTTAAGTATAGCTAAAATAACTAATGTGATTTCAGGTATTACTGTAAATCAGTTGGCAAATGTTTTCCGTGAACTGCAAAATCGTATTACCCTTTGTATTGCTAATGACAGAGGACATGTGGAAACTTAAATAAAATTTCAATAAAACCTTAAAAAATATAGATTTACTTCTTTCTAATCCTTTTTACAAATTATTTCTATCGCAAATACAAATACAGTTATAATTTTTTAAAGTGCACACTAACTTTATGGACACCCTGTACACACACACACACACATACATATATATATATATATATATATATATATATATATAAGTGTAGGAATGGCATAGGCGAAATAAAATACTTTATTTTAAAATCAACACCATCACTTGACAAGACATCAGAAGTGTTGAAACAAAATGGCTATTTTTGTAGTGATGTTATAACATGTTTATGTTATCATTTTTGAATAAATATTATATACATATATCTGTGTGTGTGTGTGTGTGTGTGTGTGTGTGTGTGTGTGTGTGTGTGTGTGTGTGTGCGTGCGTGCGTTTGCCATCTCCTTTCTTTTCCTTTACCCACAGACAGAATGCCCCTTGGAAATCAAGAATTGTTGACAAATATTTATTGGCTAGATCCTGGAATTTTTTACTGACGCTATATTTCAAATTCAAAAATACGATTTGAAATTGACTGATTTGTTGTTGTTTATTTGTTTGTTTGTTTTTTTTTTTCACCTTTTTGTGGGTGATTTAAAACCGAAAAATATTTTGGATTTTAAGTGAATATTGCATTAAGAATTACTTTTAGATAACATTGATTTTACAGATACATGTTCTACTAATTAATTCATTCCCTTATTAAGAGAGAAGTTGTTAAACAAATACAATGGTGATTAATGGATAAAAAGAGAAGAGCAGAAATGTGTCCATACTTTTACCAAGGTTATTGGCGCGAAAGTGAATGCAACGAACTCGTGTAGAATTCGAACTCGGCTCTCCGATTTCTCATTCCAAGCAGATTTCCATAACACTATTCACACATCATAAAACATTATTTCACCCCAAGCAAGACGATTATACAGCTAAGATACAAGGAGTTTCTAGGATTTTACGAGAATGAAAATAATTTCAGATTTATATATGTGTATGATAGTTTTAGGGACCAAATATAATTTAGCAATGGGAATCGTTTCTAAAAATGCCAAATGTCGATATTTTACCGATTTCAAAAAAGCTTTATTCCAAAAATAAATCTTACATCCTTTTCCGTTATTCAAATCTTTCTTTTACTTCCAGGATTCGTAATTTTTATTTTTATTTTCCTACAAATTTTAGGCCTTGTATAGGAGTCTACAGGAAAAATATATCTGGTTATTCTCGCTTTCCAAGGACACCTATCTACTAGGGGTGCCAGCAAATCTCTGTCGCTGACAGCAGCTCAGGTACATTTATGCTTGTTCGTCACCACAGATCCCAACTGGGGTTTATACTGTTAAGTATGATGATTGAAATATAGTTACAGTTTCTTGGAGAAAGCGCACACTTTGGCATGACCAGGCGTTTGAACAACGCCTGTACACTCAAATCCTCGGTCACGATGACTAATTTTACAAGTCTCCTTTCAAATTGTAGTATGGTTTTTAGGCACTTTCGAAAGCTACCGCACGTTGGATTCGCCACCCTAGACCGATAATCACCTTCCTGACAAATTGACTATGTTGAGATTAGAGCCCCAATCTCATGGTCAAAAAACTAATGTTCTAATCCCACCCACGGCGACGTGTGGAAAAGGGATTATGTTTCATGGCCTTTCTATTTAGACTGAGAACTTTTCGGAACCTTCTTGTAAATGTATCTTCTTTTATGTTGCATACCCCTTTGTAAGGGTTAAAGAAAGTGTCTTGAACTACCGGATGAATATGTCTATAGCACATCAGTTTTATCATTCGAGGTCATTCCAGGCTGACTGCAATTTCCTGTTGAAACACTAATTCTCATGCGATCACCGAAGTTAAGCAACATCGAGCATGGTCAGTATCTAGATCGGTGACCGCTTGGAAATAGCAGGTGCTGTAATCTTGGATGTGCGACTAAGTTTAATGGATAAGGGTTCGGAATTGGAAGTCGAAGAGCCGAGTTCCAATTCCAGTTGGGTTTGTCATATTCAGTTATGCGCAATACACTTGGAAAATATATGAATCCCCCACTATGGATTAATTTATAGGATATTTGTCAATAAATCATTATGATCTAAAAACAAATTCTTGCAATCTAAAAATATTTTCAGGATTTAAATAACTTGCAAAAGGTTGATAAACCGTAAAAACTACTCAATAAATCTCGGTCATTCCTTCTATTCAGCAATCAATCTTAAAATAAATTTATTTTGTTTGGCAAGAACTATTTCTATAATTACTATCCATTAACTCACTTTTCATAAACCTAAAGATAATGTCATCAATAGAAGCGGTAAAAACTATGATTAACCTACTTAAATACTCTGGGGACGATTATCACAAACACAAAGACGAGTTGTAATAGGGCAAGAGTTATTTAAAACAAGAGACAGGAAGTTGTGAAGAGTCATTATCGCTAACGTTCTGAAAGGATATCGAAGAATTAAATTCATCTTCCAAATCATAAATGACGACGTGTTTGGGGGCGAGGTCTAATTGTCAAGGCACATTTCTCGTGACCTTTAATCAAGATCTCATTAGATCTGATCTGAGACGACAAATTAAATATCAGTAATTACCTCTTCCGATTGTGTCTAGTCAAATTCTGTCGCTCTCTACATGAATTATTTAAATACACAGTTCACGAACCCTTTCTATCGGGTTCATTCGAAACTCGTATAAGCTGTTCTACTTTCGAATTTACTTTAATTAACTTATATGTTCGTAATTTGGTCAGATTTTGTACATCGACTTGTAACGAGAAGATTAAAATATACTCACAAAATTGGAAAAGAAACGAACATCAAAATATTCACCAATCCTAACCTAGAAATAATACGAACTAATTAAGTGAAACAAAATAATTTACATCTACCAGCTTGTACAAACAGACTTAGCCAGATGATGTTTGTATAGCGTGATTGGTAATGCGGTCTTATAAGTGTGGCTGTCATGGAGTGTAGACAGTAGTTAACGTCGTTTGGGAATGATTATTTATACTACTTACATTCGGATTATGGTCCTCATCTTTACTGTTGTTATCCCAACGTTTCGACCGTTCTACCCTCCGGCCTTACCGTCCTGGATATGATGATAAACTACATCCGCATCCTGGGTAAGACGATGAACTACATCCAACAGCAAGGCCTCTGATCAGGAGATTTTGAGGAGTATGGAACCGCCTCTTAATTGCTGGTGTTCCCAGGTCCACTCTGACCCGGGTTAGTAGTACCTGTTAGGGTCTCAGCTATGGGCAAATAGTTAACCCCAAAACTGAGACTACATCCGCGTCCTGGGTATGACGATAAACTACATCCGCGTCCTGGGTAAGACGATAAACTACGTCCAACTGCAAGGCCTCTAATCAGGCGGCTTTGAGGTGCGTGGAACCTCCTTTTAATTGCTGGTGTCCCCAGGTCCACCCTGACCCGGGGTGGTAGCACCTGGTAGGGTCCCAGCTATGGACAAACAGTTAACATCCAAACTTATGTAAAAATAGGTTTTAATACCAGAAATACTTTGTAATAATAATAATTATTATTATTATTATTATTATTACCAGCAATCATTTTTGAAGGGAAATTTATCAGCATTATTTTTTTTAAAAATACCAGCAATACAAACAGCTTTTTGAAAAATTATTACCAAAAAATATTACCAGCTATAGATTTCTTTAAGAAAAAATATTCCTATTGAAGTTGATATGCCGCAAAACAAACCAAACCAAACCAATCAAAGAATGAAAACAGTGACGCATCCCAACGTTTCGACCGTTCTACCCTCCGGCCTTCATCAGATGTATGTCGATCCGGGTAACGTGCAGGGAATTCCGAAATGAACACTTAATTCCTTTCTACACTCTACAGCTGCCACAGCTACGCTAGATCATTACCGATGACGTCATATAAACATCATCGGGCCGAGGCTATTTGTAATGGCCTTGGTGTCTATGTTTGTGAAAATCTTCCATTTGTAAAAGAATTATCTCTTGAGTCTCTGGATTGTTCTTATATCTACTTACGACTTTCCTTATTAAACTCGATTAATTATCTCTTCTTCTTTTGTCGTTCTCTTTCTTCTCGGGACTGCTGCTTGCTAGATTCAAATATTTGATATAGCTCAGGCTATCTCTCTATATTCGAGGAGGCACTGTGGAGTAATGGATAGCGGAGGAATCGGAGAGCCGAGTTCGAATTCCAGTCGAATCCATTAGATTCACTTACGTGCTAACACCCTTGGGAAAGGCGTGAATCATCTTTCTTCTCCCTACAGCTATGGGTAAATAGCAGGACAGACTGGGTTCTATAGCCTTGGATGGCAACTGGTCTAGGAGAAGGAAAACTCTGAATTCAAACCTGCTCTTAGAGGAGGGTGAATGGAGTCTCTCTGAGCCTTGTTTGGCAATCCATTTAGTGTTGGTGTCACCATAAAAACACCCTTGATAGCCCTAGCGAAGCATCAAGAATTCAGCTATTTGACAAGATTATGAACTACACCAATCAAACCGAGTTCTATAGCCTTGGATGGCAACTGGTCTACTGCAGAAAGAAATAGAAAGCGGGAAAAATCTACCTCGTCACTCATGCATAGAAAGACACATGATCGCCTAAGCGTGTATCCCGAATGGCACATAACTGAACTGAACCTTACGAAAGGTAGGAATCTTCTTCTCCCCCCTCCCCCATTTATGAATAAATAGCAGGACAGAGCGGGTTCTATAGACTTGGATAGCAACTGGTCTACCGCAAAAAGAAATGGCAAACTACTGCTGGAAAAAATCTTCTTCGTCAGTCATGTATTGAAAGATAAATGATGTATCACGAATGGCATATAACTGAACTGACCATTTCAAAAGGCATGAATCCTCTTTTTCCCCCACCACACACCTTTTACCCATAGGTAAGTGGGTAAAAGAGAAACTCGGATGAGTTCCACCATCGAATATGTGATCGATCGGCGCTATATCGAGTCTGATTCACTGCCTCTTCATCACCGAGGCCCGTTCGAAGATTTTGTATCACGTTTGCCTGATAACGTAACTGTCCGGGTTTCAATTCTTGGTAGTGGATGCGCACTGCTGGTTAGTCCCAGATATAAGACGAAACGGTCGTCCAGCGCATTCTATTGAGGTTTCTTCTAGACTCGATGAATTACCTATTATATATATATATATATATATATATATATATATATATATATATATATATATATATATATATATATATATATATATATATATATATATATATATATATATATATATATATATCCTTCCCTTGGACTGCAGGGTCTGTCGAGCTCCATCTACTTTCGTATATATATGGGCACCTCGGCGTGGTGTAATGGTTAGCAAGCTTGTCATGCTAGATCAGTTAATACTGAAGAGTGAGTTCGATCCTCACTGGATGCCCCATGCTTTCAGCCTTGTGCTACATCTAAGCTACGCTTGGAAAATCTCTACTTTCGTATATATATATATATATATATATATATGTATGCGTGAATTGGAATCAAATATATATATATATATATATTTCTAAAGAGTTATTAGAAAATAGCTTAAGTTTTGCCAAAATCCACACTGATATTACTGACGAAGAAATAAAAATCATAATGAACTCTAGACAGTCTATACTAAAACTGAATAACACTACTTGGATTAAAAAAGACAGAGACAACTTCGATGTCCCAATGGGATCATTTGATTCAGCTCAAATAGCTGACCTAATAGGTATATATATTTTAGATATCCTAAGTAGATTCCTTGACCCTCAAAATATAGGACTATACAGAGATGACGTATTGGTTGCTGTACCTGATACCAATGGTCCGTTAACATCCCAACTACAAAAGAAAATAATTAAGGCTTTCAAATTTCTAGGGTTTAAAACCGAGATTTCTTCCAACCTAAAAATAGTAAACTTCCTAGATGTTACATTTAATCTGAACAATAACACTTATAAACCCTTCCAAAAAGGAAAACCAATCACCCATATATATATAAGTATCTACTCTAATCACCCGAAATCAATAATTAAACAAATTTCAAATACAGTAAATGCAAGAACAAATAAACTCTCCTCTAGTAAAACCATTTTTAACCAAAATAAATCGGAATATAATAAAGCCCTATTAAAAAGTAAATGTAAACAGACACTAAACTATATAGATAAGTCAGTTAATAGAAAATCCACTAAATCCAAAAATAATAAAAGGAAAATTATATGGTTCAACCCACCTTTTTGTAAACTTTCTAATATTAACATAGGTAAATACTTCATAAAACTGATAGAAAAACACTTTAGTAAAAATTTTCAATTTTCAACAAGATGAATTTAAAGATTAGCTATTCTTGCATGAACAATATGGAGAGAATTATTAGCTCACACAATAGTAAAATCTTGAGAGACCTTCATGAGAATCTAATACAAAATCATAATACAACCCAAATGAAAACATCAACATGCAATTGCAGGACAGGATCAGAGTTCCCAGTTGAAGGAGTATGCATGGCGGAAAATGCAATATATGAGGCAACAATTTTCCCCAAAGAGAATGTTGAGGAGAAAAGGATATACATAGGAATATAGGCGGGAAATTGGAAACACCGACTATATAACCATCGCCAGTCCTTCAAAAATAAATGTAAAAAGAACCAAACGGCACTGTCAAAGTATTATTTGGATTTGTTGGAGGGTGGCTTAACCTCACAAATAAAGTGGAAAATAATCTCGAGAGCCAGAACTCCAAAAAAGTCAGATGCGACTTATGCATAAAAGAAAAAATCCTCATGATCAAACACAAAGATCCAGATTTATTACTAAACAGACACAATGAACTAATTTTTAAATACCGACATAAGAACAACCTAAACCTAAGAAAATACATTGAGAAATAACCA